CTTTTCAAGCTAATGGTGTAAACCTTGAATATTTCAAATTTAGAATAGTTGATATGATAGAAGTCATAGTTTGAAATATAAAAGGTCTACGACATTTGGTTGCAGAGATATTAAAAATTATAGTTTGTGGCAAAAACTCAGTTCCTTTGTATAGTATACTTATTTCAATAAACTTAGAGATTTTAAAAATATTTTGAAAAATGGGATCTTTGAAGTAGCTTTGGAGTAACTATGAGTAACCTGGGAAACGCCGGGCTGGGTTCTCAAGCTGCTGTATCTATATAGTAGTAATCTCTGTTTGTGTTGATGTCCTATCTTAACTCAGGAACCGCTTGACCGATTTGCCTCAAATTTTGATTTGGTAACATAGATGAACCAAAGGAATCCTAACTTGGTCAAACTATTATAAATTTTGCAGTATCGCCGTCAATTTTGAAGATACAAAAAGGTAAACCCTATTTTGAAAATCATAAGACCAGGCGTTTTTAATATTAGATGTTTAAGCTGGAATACTGCAATAATTGTGTTCAGGAAAAAATGCTGCATGTGGAACGACGACAATATAAAAGTCGTCACTAAATTCCCATGTTTATTACTATAAGAAAAGGGACGCCATTTTTAAATTAATGTTTAAAATTAATAAAAATATTTAACTTTAAAACTGTTTGCATGTTGAAATTATTTCCATTCTATGCCTATGTCCTTTATTATTACTTTATATCTCTTTAGATCTCGACTAGTTTAAATAAAACTGTTTCTGTAAATAAGAATGCAAAGAAACCATAAAACTGAACTATAGAGTCCACACACCTCCAGTTCTCCTGGATCGGATAATTGGAATATTTCATTTTTGAAAATATTCAAAATATTTCACTGAACCCGCGGTTAGAGAAACGACGTTGAGGTTTATTTACGCAAAAATATACATCAGTAAAATTCTGTTAATAAAAAATGCCTACGTAAAAATTATGTGAGCCTTCATGCAAATATGGCAATGCCAGATACACAACAGTACCCTTAGAAGCTTTGTCTTGTGAATTAAATACCATTGATTATAATTTTTAAAACAGATTTTCTCGATTGTGGTTTTTCTACAAGAATTACTTGCGCAAATTTCTACGGCAGGAAACATATAAGAATGATTAGACAGAAAATATTTTCTTATGATAAATGTGAATATTTTTAAAAGATGCAAGCGACATGGTTTATTGATGAAAAGTCTGGCTCTGACACTATGCAATATTATATAAAATGTGTTTACTTGGATCTGAATAATTATTTAATATTAAAACAATTATTTTTCAATATTCCCTACTCAATACTCAATACACATACATGTAAACAAATCTATACACCGATAAACAATGTTATAGAAGGAGGGTCGGAAAATTTGATTTACGAAGACGATATCTAAGTTTTTATGTCGATCACTGTAAAAAAGAAAGCCAAGATTTTCAATCCATTTTGCATTTTCCATCTTAAAATAAAATTTACAGTTCACGTCAAACTAAAGTAAATTGCACTTGAGACTGAAATTTTAAATGTTTTCAATCAAAACTTCTCTTATTAAAAAACTATTTAGAAGAACGAAAGTATTTTGAATTTCTACCATGTAACCGGATTACTTTGCTTCTTTCATATTTGTGCGTGAATCAAAACAATAGGTACTTTGTGCTTGAAGCAAGTTCTAATCTTTGCATTAGATTTCTTTCTAATTTATGTTCCAGGAACTAAAAGTTTGCAAACTATTTCATTCCAAAACAACAATAAAAATTTTAAACTTTTAATTAAGTGTCGAAACGTGAAATGTTTATCATTTGTACTCTTTGATTAGTACAGATTAATTAAAATAACAAAATAAGCTGGGCTTTTTGGCCGATTCGGGCCTCTTTTTCTAGAAACTATTTAAGCTTTCAGAAATTCAGTTCAAATTGGTAGATTTTTAAAAATCGCAACAGGCGACGCCATTTTTCAAGACGAAATTTTCAGTTTGACCGTCGATAAACATTTCCTGGGCTAGAACTGTTCAGCTGTTTTTTACATTTCTGGATACAAAAATCCTAACGCGTCGAACATCGCCAAAACACTGAATTAGATCATGCTAAAAAAATGATATACCAAAATAAAAATGTTTTCTCAAATTATTCTTAAATAAACATTGAACATAAATTTATAAATAGGGTATTAACGATTCTTAATTTTAACTTTAGTTCCTTCTCTACCTCCTTTTTATTTGTGAACACTCACTTTTCAATCCAAAAACATGAATGTACATTTGGACCAGCCAACTTGATTTGTAAAATATAAAACTATTGATCGAAAAACAATTTGTCTTTCAAAATTTGTCAAGATCTTTAAAATAGAAAATATTGAAGAGGGGAGTTCGGAACCACGGGAAAATATTGAAGAAGGTAGCTCGGAACCACGGGAAAATATTGAAGAGGAGAGCTCGGAACCACGGGAAAATATTGAAGAGGGGAGCTCGGAACCACGGGAAAATATTGAAAAAGAGAGCTCGAAACCACGGGAAAATATTGAAGAGGAGAGCTCTCGGAACCACGGGAAAATATTGAAGAGGAGAGCTCTCGGAACCACGGGAAAATATTGAAGAGGGGAGCTCGGAACCACGGGAAAATATTGAAGAGGGGAGCTCGGAATCACGGGAAAATATTGAAGAGGAGAGCTCGGAACCACGGGGAAATATTGAAGAGGGGAGCTCGGAACCACGGGAAAATATTGAAGAGGGGAGCTCGGAACCACGGGAAAATATTGAAGAGGGGAGCTCGGAACCACGGGAAAAGTCAAGATCCAATACTTCTAATACTTCTAATCTAATACAGTATCTTCTTCAAGAAATAAGGAAAATAAGGCCAAAACGTTATATTATGAAAGTTCATGACTAGAGTAATTATTTTTTAGATAGATAGATTGCTGAGTATTCTATAATAGATTGTTATTATAAATGACCAAATAACATGATTTTTATGACGTGTAAATGTTTTTCTTCTCCATCTACTTTTAACCTAATATTCGAAAATGAGCTTTGTCTTTGGTGCATTTGCAATCATAGAAATGTGGATTTTTGAAAAG